ATTATCATACCCTTTTCTGATGAATCATATAGTCCTACGACTTCATCTACTAATAAGAATAAGGTTAAAAAATGAATTGTAATTACAATTGAAACGACTGAAAAAGATATATGAGTTAATATATGCTCTAAAGTTGAAAAAATCATAAAAATTATGAAAAAAGCGAGGGTTTCTAGATTTTATGGAATGGAAATAAGGAATTAAATTCATTATAGGACTTATTCTATCTCTTTTATAAGATACTATGCCGCCACTCGGACTCGAACCGAGATGCTCTAGCACTGCTTCCTAAGAGCAGCGTGTCTACCGATTTCACCATAGCGGCTTGCTCGAAATCATAATAACCCTTTTTTTATTCAATCGTCGAGATTGAAGGTGAAGGGGTCAATTCAATGTAAAATGTAAAAATTTTTAGGAAACATTTTAATTGATGAATAAAAACTCGTTGAAATAGCAATTTGAAGGTTCAATTTGAAGGTTCAAAAGGAATCTTTATTATTCATCGTATCATTTTTTTTATTTAATTATCATATTAAAATAGTTCGTCAATAGAGATTTTTTAGTTTGTGTTTTCCTAAAAGAGAACTCCTTTATTGTAACGAAACTAACTAGTTGTAACTTCAATTCATAGATAAAATTCAACAAAACAAAAAAGGAAAAAAAAAAGGTTCTTTATCATTTTTTAATGATTCATTTCTCATTCTTGTGTATGATTTTTATGAATAATTAAAAAACGAATAAATGAATGAAAAAATATGATTTTTAGAGATCACAATTTCAGCACCACATCCAAGGATTTCAAAAAATTTATGTAATTTGGATAGTTTTGTATTAATCGTTAGGATTTTGCGTTTTAAGGATTTATCAAACCAACTAGATATTGGGTTGTACACGTTACGTTATATAAAAAGCGTTTCGATTCCTGTCATAATTGTACCATACTTCAAAAAAGTATTTCGAATTCGAAAAATATGTCTTGATTCATCTTCTTCTACAAACATAGGATTTTTTAGATCACTTAAAATTGATACATTATTTCTATATCCACTAAATTAGAAAGGGTTTTTCTCAAGTGGGTTGAAAACAAGGAAAGGATATTATTGATACATTATTTCTATATCCACTAAATTAGAAAGGGTTTTTCTCAAGTGGGTTGAAAACAAGGAAAGGATATTATAGTAATTCAGAGAAATAATGATTCATAAAGTTACAAAATTGAAACTTAATTTAATGGATTAGTTTCGACAACCCAGTTAAAGTTCTTATGTATGTGCTACCCTATAGTATAAATAATAAAATTATTAATATTTATTATAATAATAATAATAATATAATAATAATTAATAATTTTAATAATAATTAATAATTTTAACACTAACATAACAAATGGGCGATGGGGAAAATAAGAATCCCCACCCCGGAAATAAAAAAAAAAGATATTCAAAAATTAAAAAAAGAAAACCTTTGTATCTTATTCGAGTTAAACCAATTCAATTCAGATTACTCCAAATTTATTTGTCGTACAAAAAAACTTTTTGAATTACCCGTAGAAAGAGATTTCGCTAATGAAAAAGCTTTCAACGCCGCCCAATATCCTTTCTTTTTCCAAACATTTTTTCGAATACGCTTTTTTGATGTAGAAGTACGTTTTTTTGGAACTGCCATTCAAAAAAAAAAAGGTTATTCAGTGCTATAGTTGGATGTCAAAGACATCTATTTATTTTTAAAACAAAAAATGATCGGGCTTTTTATGTCATTATTTATCTATTCCTATAGATTTTCTAGATTATAACTATATATACTACTATACAAATTTTATACAATATACAAATTTTATACAAATTTCATAAAAAAAAAAATGAATAGAGATGGGAAAATCACATAAAATGTTTCTATTCTATAACAAAAAAAACAAAACAATATGATATAACCTTTTTTATTTATATTCCATACACTATCCAGAAAAAAAAAAGAAGAATTTGTATTTAATTTAGAAGAATTTGTATTTAATTTATTGGTACCTTTCTTTTTTATATCTCCATTCAAATCTATAGGATATAGGATAAATTAGGATCTATATCTATTATGATATATAAATTGAATTGATGAAATCAAAAAAACGTAAAAAAAGGTCTTTCCTTTTCTATACTCTGCCTATTTTTTTGTCGTCCTACGTTTAGAATTTATCCATCTCCATTTAGAATTTATACATAAAAAATACATCAAAATCAAAAGTCTAAAAAACCATTTTATCTACCTACGTAAACTTGAATTTTTTTTTGTATTAATTGGTAATTGGTCAAGCTCGAAGAGAGAGTGTGCCCAATTTTTATTTTCAATCAAATTCGAATGAGACTCGTAGTTAATCCGTTAAAGGATACATAAATTTGAAAAAAAAAAGAAAAGAATAGTTTATTATATTACATAGTCATTTTTCCTTTAATTATATGGAAATATAAATTAATTATATGGAAATATAAATGTAAATAGAAAGTAATTAATTGAGAAAGATTAAAAAATTAAGAATAGAAAATTCCAGTTAACTTTGTAATATCTTGATTTTTTTATTGCTCCCTTTCAATCATTCAATCAAAAGAGATAAGAGCCGGTGAATCAGAAACGATTAATTAAGTAAGAAAGAATAAGAAAAAAGTTTTTATGGAGCATGCATATCAATATTCATGGATCATACCTTTTGTGCCACTTCCCATTCCTATTTTAATAGGAATGGGACTCCTACTTTTTCCGACGGCAACAAAAAATCTTCGTCGTATGTGGGCTTTTCCCAATATTTTATTGTTAAGTGTAGTTATGATTTTTTCGGTCGATCTGTCTATTCAGCAAATAAATGGAAGTTCTATCTATCAATATGTATGGTCTTGGACCATCAATAATGATTTTTCTTTCGAGTTTGGCTACTTTATTGATTCACTTACCTCTATTATGTCAATATTAATCACTACTGTTGGAATTTTTGTTCTTATTTATAGTGACAATTATATGTCTCATGATCAAGCATATTTGAGATTTTTTGCTTATATGAGTTTGTTCAATACTTCAATGTTGGGATTAGTTACTAGTTCGAATTTGATACAAATTTATATTTTTTGGGAATTAGTTGGAATGTGTTCTTATCTATTAATAGGGTTTTGGTTCACACGACCCGCTGCGGCAAACGCTTGTCAAAAAGCGTTTGTAACTAATCGGATAGGCGATTTTGGTTTATTATTAGGAATTTTAGGTTTTTATTGGATAACGGGAAGTTTCGAATTTCAAGATTTGTTCGAAATATTTAATAACTTGATTTATAATAATGAGGTTCATTTTTTATTTGTTACTTTATGTGCCTCTTTATTATTTGCCGGCGCAGTTGCTAAATCTGCGCAATTTCCTCTTCATGTATGGTTACCTGATGCCATGGAGGGGCCTACTCCTATTTCGGCTCTTATACATGCTGCCACTATGGTAGCAGCGGGAATTTTTCTTGTAGCCCGCCTTCTTCCTCTTTTCATAGTTATACCTTACATAATGAATCTAATATCTTTGATAGGTATAATAACAGTATTATTAGGGGCTACTTTAGCTCTTGCTCAAAAAGATATTAAGAGGGGGTTAGCCTATTCTACAATGTCCCAACTGGGTTATATGATGTTAGCTTTAGGTATGGGGTCTTATCGAGCCGCTTTATTTCATTTGATTACTCATGCTTATTCGAAAGCATTATTGTTTTTAGGATCCGGATCAATTATTCATTCCATGGAAGCTGTTGTTGGGTATTCGCCAGAGAAAAGCCAGAATATGGTTTTGATGGGCGGTTTAAGAAAACATGCACCCATTACACAAATTGCTTTTTTAGTAGGTACGCTTTCTCTTTGTGGTATTCCACCCCTTGCTTGTTTTTGGTCCAAAGATGAAATTCTTAGTGACAGTTGGTTGTATTCACCGATTTTTGCAATAATAGCTTGGTCCACCGCCGGATTAACAGCATTTTATATGTTTCGGATCTATTTACTTACTTTTGAAGGACATTTAAACATTCATTTTCAAAAATATAGTGGCAAAAAAAGTAGCTCTTTTTATTCAATAAAACTATGGGGTAAAGAAGAGCAAAAAATTGTTAACAGAAATTTTCGTTTATTTCCTTTATTAACAATGAATAAAAACGAGAAGCCATATACAATTGGTGGTAATGTCAAAAAAAGGGCTCTTATTACTAATTTTGGCTACAAGAAGGCTTTTTCTTATCCTCATGAATCAGATAATACTATGCTATTTCCTATACTTATATTGGTTCTATTTACTTTATTTGTCGGAGCTATAGCAATTCCTTTGAATCAAGAAGGAATGCATTTGGATATATTATCCAAATTATTAACCCCATCTATAAATCTTTTACATCAAAATTCAAATGATTTTGAGGATTCGTATCAATTTTTAACAAATGCAACTTTTTCGGTGAGTATAGCTTGTTTCGGAATATTTACAGCATTCCTTTTATATAAGCCTTTTTATTCATCTTTACAAAATTTGAACTTACTAAATTCGTTTGCGAAAAAGGGTCCTAAAAGAATTTTATTGGATAAAATAATATATTTGATATATGATTGGTCATATAATCGTGGTTACATAGATACGTTTTATTCAATATCCTTAACAAAAGGTATAAGAGGATTGGCCGAACTAACTCATTTTTTTGATAGGCGAGTAATCGATGGAATTACAAATGGAGTAGGCATTACAAGTTTTTTTGTAGGAGAAAGTATAAAATATGTAGGGGGAAGTCGCATTTCGTTTTATCTATTATTGTATTTATTTTATGTATTTATTTTGTTATTAATTTATTACTTTATTTTATTTTAATTTATTACTTTATTTACTTTATTTACTTTATTTTATTTTAATTTTTTTAATTTATTACTTTATTTACTTTATTTTATTTTAATTTACTTTATTTTAATTTACTTTATTTTATTTTAATTTATTAATTTTATTTTAATTTA